CAGTATTAGGAGACCAATCTCTGCTTAACGAGCTTCTAAGTTCAACAGTGAGTCTGAGATGAGGAACCTTTCAGAGGCTTCATCCTGACCTACATGCTAGAGCAGACCTGGCTGACTCCCTTAAACCTGTGATTACATTCAGGAGAGAGTCAATCATTCTTCATATGCAGATGTTTATCACATTTTCCCCTTTGCACTTCCCACTTCATTGTTTCAGAAAAAATTTCCTCTCTTCAGTGATACAACAAAGGGCATTAACATTTTCATCATCGATTTAGTTTTTCATACACATTTCTAACATGCACCACAAACACATAATAAAAACTAAAGTAAAATATTTTTTCAATGAGAGAATTTGACAATTCAGACAAAAACTTTTACAAACTTGAGTTTTAGATTCAACACTCATGCATTTAGAGAGGCAAAAAAGCCAGACATCCCCACAGGTCCTTGGGAAATGTCTGATTGATAGACATCACATATATCCTCAGAATAAAGGGAAACACAAGTAAACAGAAGTTGCACAGATTTCAGCCACAAAGAGACAGTATCTGAGTCCCTACACTTGGATATAAAAAGGTCAAGTACAAGTAGTGCATCACGATGATCTCTGTAAGTGATTAAACAAACCACCTACAATTACTCCCAGAAAACACAGAAAAATATTGACTAGGCAACAAAAAACACAAGATATGAACCACGGAAGCCAATGACAGCAGCATGCAATTGAAATGAGTCCACTAAGATATGGCAATTCATCAACACACAGAGTGATATAATTTTGACTGACAATATAAGAAACAATAACAGAAAATGAAAAGTAATGCTAGTATATATACAGCAGTCACATAGAGCTCATCATGCCAGCATCGCAGCATACATTTTCCTTTGAATAGCACTCTCCTCGTGTGTGTATAGATAGTATTGCTAGTGGAAGTACAGAAAGAGAAGCACTTTGACTTAGAAGCCTCATGACCTGCACTGGAAACTGTTGGGGTCCTCTGTTATGCAAGTAGAAGTCTCTTCACATCCGGATAGCTCATGAGCTCAGAAACCATGTGCTGCAGATTCCTTTCATAGCAGAGTGCCTTCCTGGCATCCTCCCTGACTCTTCTTTTAAAGTGCTCGCCACAAATACATGCCCTCCAGCACAGGAGCTACCAGGTTTTCCTGACTCTTCTTTTAAAGTGCTTGCCACAAATACATGCCCTCCGGCACAGGAGCTACCAGGTTTTTAATCAGGCGTTGTCTGATAGCCTGATAGAAGCCCACCGCCCTATGTAAATGAGGCATCCTAAAAGTACCTATCAGCTAAGACTTCTTCTGCTGTCTCTACACTATAAATAGTCCTAGTTTTACCCCAATAAAGTTGGAGCTGGAGCTGAATCACTGAGATCTGAGCTGAGTCACTTGTCTTGAGCTGTAACACTAAATCCTGTGATCCAGTCTCCCCGGGGGGGTGCTATTCCTCCGTCACCGACTCACAGACACCCTGGCTTTCGCCGTTCCTCGTATGCTTCCTGTGTGGTCCAAGTGGCCAGTGGACCTCACATCCTGAGGAAGGTATATGGGTGAAATAGGGACGGGATCGACTGAGTAGACCTCAGTAGCGGAGGAGCTTTCACTGCCCAGGAGTGCGTGCTGGGACCCTGAGAGCCCAGTGCGTGTTCGCCTATAGAAACAATATATCTTAAAATAATCTCAGATTTCTTTTCATGATCACCACAAGGGTTATTTAGAGTTATAAGAATCACTGTACTCAGGGAGGCATAGGGTATAAAACAGAATGTATTTTATGTCTTACCTCCAAGTCTAGATGCATTTAACAATTAAGTAATTATTTTCATTATAAAACAATGTGAACTATAACTTGGTTGATACATCCATTTGTAGAATTTTTTGAGGAAAATAGGAAGCTCATTCATGGACAAATTTGGTCTTAGAAATGTCAAAATATAATATTAGCTCTTAATCCCACAGTAGGCAACTTGAGGGATCTTGCTCCATGCTTTTGAAATGTAGAATTGTGAACAAGGGACTGCTTATGATTCTGTCCTGGTTCATAGACAGTCCAGGAGGACTTCACATGGTTTTATTTGAAATGTGACCCACATGTTTTGTGCACCTAAACCTTAACAACTGGCCTAATGAAATGGGAAAGGCATCGAAAATTTAAGTTCTCACAATGTATTTCAACACCAGTTGCTAAGTAGCATATGCTATGTGTACTGGAGTTAAGGATCTTGAACTTACCTGGTTTAATGTAATTTCACAATTACCTGCCACACTGCTAGTCACTTTACATTCTCAGGTATTGTAACCACTGGGCCTTCCAATTTTCCTGGCAAGCTCTGACAACCTCACGATGCTGAACTATGGATCTTGTATAAACCTCAAGAAAGATCTTTAAAATTTTTAAATGAAAAAGAATATTAACTATAATAAAAAAATTAAAAGTAAAATATTTTTAAATACTACACTTAGACCATAACCACCACCACCACCACCAA